ACGCGTTTTACGTCTGGCATAATCAGTCTGTTCAGCGAACGTTAGGTTACTAGAGTATCTAATACCGAGATCTACGACTGAATTGAGCTTAGCTAGTTTTCGCCCATTTATTTCAAGGTTTAGATCAAGCTTACTGTTGCCGATACAAATCCAGCCGCATTTGCCAATGTTAAAATTTAGGCAGGATTCAGCACACCACGTTGCAAGGCTACTTAGTTCAAGATGTATTTTATCTACCATATCGCTTAATTCATGAGTGTAGGCGTAACCTTTCGAGTGCCAAGACCAAGTGTCTAAAGTGAGTTCCCTTGTTTGGACTGGCACAGAGGCAGTCTTCGAAGTATGCGTATACAAAGTCAAGACCGAGAAATAATTCGTCATTGAAGCGTTGGAACGTTTGCGCTGTGTTTCGGAGATGGAATGGCACACTTAGAAATCCAAAAAGTTTAAAAGGTTTAATGTCAGGTGCTTTCGGAATATATTCTGTTGCACCGGGATTTAATTACACGCTTTAACCAAGTCCAGAATATAATGGCACTAAATAATGCCGTCGCCAAGTCATGCATGTGGGGCCAGGCATAGCGATCGGGGATTTTTTGGCTTTCACTAGCCGTAAATCACCAGTGGGTTGTCAGTTGCTGCTACCTTTTCAGGTGCTATGGGCCATTAGATCGCTGTATGATGCCAAGGGTGAGCATGAGGTCAAATACACTTCACCTCAGGCGTTGTTTGTCAGGAGCCTTTCGTCGTGCCTTAGATGTCACGGGTTGTCGTGTTGTCATGATGTGATGCATAACGTTGCTGATTATGCACGGTGGATCGTTAGACAGGCAATTTAGTTCTGGGTAACTATCAACAGTATGCTGGAAAGTTTGGTCAAAGATTGCCTTTTTAACGAGTGTTAAGCAATTGACTACTTACGTGATGCCTTTAAAAGACGGTCTATTGGTGCCGTTTGCCACTCGTTTTGACGTGTATCTACGAGTAAAGCACGGTAGTCAAGTAGGTCTATGCTAATGATGGCATTGTGACATCAGAAAGGAGGAAAATCTACTCAGCAGATTTGCATAAACCCACGTTTATATAGGCGTACTTCCTACCCAAGTTGCAATAGGTTCCTAATTCTCCGCCTGTGAGTTGAAGGTGGGTTCCTGCTGTCCACCTGATGCTGAAACAGCTAGGACGCCGACTTCCAAACCTGCGTCAAACAAGAATCATGTCAGGTTGACTACATCACGGGTGTATAGTGGGTGGCTAATAGTGCCAGTGACTGTTGTCACTAACGCGTGCCGGCGGGATAGTTTCCCATAGCTTTATAGTCATTGCCGAAATCGCAATGTTTTCGTCAATATTTCACTTGCTAGCCACAAGTATTGCGATACCAACAACAGTTAGGGTTTTTTAATGAACGTAGTTTGGATTTCCACCGACCACATGGGTTTCACTGTTTGGGGGAATTCTGTCGATGGTAGGAGGAAATACAGGGACTGTTTTACCTAAATGGTTGCTGAATGAGTTGCATAACTCTATCTCTGCAGTGTTCCTACCCAAAGTCTATTTAGTGACTGAGCACATTTCATTGACTGGCCACTGTGTTATCCTTAGGATTTTATCGGCAGAAGTAGCCAAGTCGTGTATAATGACACCTTGAAGCACAGCCTGCACTGACTGTGGTAATCTGGATAAGAACAGCTCTCTGAAGAGTCCCTCATCGAAACAGTAACTTCCTGCGATCTCGTTAGCAAGTTCACAGTCAACTGATTCCCTGAGTCGGAGTCGCAACATAGTTCGCCAAGACGCTGTCGATCCTTGTGGTCGTCCCTCTTAGGAGAGTTGCTTCAAGCACGTTGTAAGAGATATTACGGCTTAGGGTAGACCCCAATTCTAAACACTTACAAAACTTATTCACCGTTTTATGACCTTAGCTGTACTCTGCTTAATGTGCAAATCCTGACGAACCGAATCAAGGTAAAAAGACTTGCTTTGACAAGTGTATCTGGGACAGTTATATTTTACACAAACGAAATATGAAATTTGATAAATAAAGAGGCTGTACAACTTATCTGTTGATGTCACTGGAGGTAGGCCCGGAGAGTGCGCAGAATGAAAGCACAACGAGAGAGCGAACCAATGAAGGTACGGAAGAGTCACAACTCAAAAGATAAAGATGTGCCAAACGATGGGTGCACGAGTTAAGGCAAAAGTTCAAGGGTAAAATGTGCAATACAACCACATAGAGGGGTTCCTACTTCTGCGCTCATTTTATCCACAGTTACGCACTTGCCTAGAGTGAGGATATAGGCTGTCTCGAGGTGTTGTCGCGCAATGCCATCGGTTACCGCGCTCACGGCAACAGACGTTATAATCGCCTATTTTTTTGGAAATAGATTATATTTCACTAGTTTTAGACTTCTGTAGCCGGATGGCAGTAATTTGCTGTATTTTGTTCTTAGTAGAGCGTAAAATTGTATATTATGGCTCGGACGAATTATCAATGAAGAAGTCATCCTATTTAAGAGAGTTCGCATAGAAAGACTATTATTTGCATTATAGTGCGTTTGTTCTAATTTCCACATCAGAGCGTGGATAACTGTAAGGGACTGTGAAAGCTGGTCAGTCATCCTATGTTTACTGAAATCAGACTCGGCTATCTGAAACCGTGATTCAGTATTATTTGTCGAAAATCGTGCGAGCTGATAGTTGGGCGGATACCGATGCCTATAAGAGGCATGGCTACTCAAAAAGAAATATATACTTCAAATATTGTACAACGACAAATATAAAGTGAAACGAACCCAGCGGATTTGTCTGCGTGTTTACCAGACATGAATTTCGCTATGGGGCTCACCAATTTAGAGGCCGAGGGTGTTGACGTTCATGGATATTACGGTTTGTAATGACGCAAGATCTTATACCCACAACTTCCATAATATTCGTTTCGCACAGACCAATGAAAAAGCAGGACACCAGAACTGATCATCCAAAATATGAAGTATATTTCCGGACCAGATAGGAGTGTGAGATGATTGCTCAGCTAGTCAGGGATCGTGCAAGAACGCAATACGATGGCGTGCTAAATGGCTCGGATGCTTGACTACTAGCCTTCAGCTAAAGAAGTCGACTTAAACCGTGAAGGTCAGCATCCAGTGTTCACTGATGAGTGGTGTGGCCAATAATTCTGGGAAATTACCTACCGCTTTGGTCAGTATACTAGTTGGTAAAACTATGATTTGCTCAGCAGATGTTTACCGCACACAAGGGTGTGTGTCCTATATTTTTAAGTTGATCTCGTGCATAAGCCCATAGTCTTCCAAGTTAGAAAGAAAACAAACTCAGGCCTTTTTAACTTTAACATTTCACTCTCACAAAAAGGTATTCCATATTTACACATTTAATAACAAACTGAAAATAAGTTGGCTTATCTGCTGAAGTATTCAACTTGATTGTGAACTTTGAAACTAATGACCTGACTTGCAACGTATATACACGGGCAACGCATGTTTGAAGTCGTGAATAGATATGTTGATTGTCAATTTCCATAACACGCCGTCGTGTTACATTCGTGCGCGATTCATAACTACTTAAGCAATCATCTCGCACTCCTATCTGGTCCGGAAATATACTTCATATTTTGGATGATCAGTTCTGGTGTCCTGCTTTTTCATTGGTCTGTGCGAAACGAATATTATGGAAGTTGTGGGTATAAGATCTTGCGTCATTACAAACCGTAATATCCATGATCGTCAACTCCCTTAGCAGTAAATGTCATGGTGTAACGGCAGAAGGTAATGGCCAGGCAACTGATTGTTTATTGAGAAAATGAAGAGATATTCATAGTTTTTTACGTCCATTATTGTCAGTGGAGAAGCAACGTCTGTTTGTTGGTTGTTTTTTGCTGAAAGTTATTCTGTACTGTTTGTGACAGTTTCTTAGAAAGTAAAGCCATATATCTGCGAATCGAATTTGCACACGTTAAGTCTGCTGTGATTGGTTGGCGAGTTCCTCACGGTTAAGCTTCGCTTTTGTTTTTCTCATGACCTCGATTCGGGACGTAAACACTGCCGTAAATTGTTGTATACAGTTTTGGCTTGCAGACAGGTCTCAAAACAATAGTAATAAATATTTCTCCAGAGCGATTTAACGAATACATGCTGATTAACCGTGACCCAATATTTTGCCTCAACTTATATTACGACACATCATATACAAGTATATGATATCTTGGCTGCTCACGTCCTCATCATAATGTATATCCTACAGTTGCGGACCAACGTGTCTCTCATTTTTCTTTGGAAAAGATTTATGCTTTCCATTCCTAACCGATAATTCGTACTTTCATGAATAATTATTGAAATAAAGGCGACATTTAATTGTCACTATAATTCGGCTTAAGAAATAACAATTTTATGACGTGAGCGATTCTGCTGGTTACAAAAATTTGACTTTTCCTTCTAGAGTGGTTTACTTCTATTTGTTCGGATTCTGTGACAACAAATTCCCACATAATCATATTTTCAAAGAAGTTACACGTCTAGCTTTTTTATTTACATTTCGTTAATACTGAAGATTTAGTGATTGATGGTAATGTAACACACAGGGATAAAGTATTAATAACTGGATGACGTTTCAAGAGCAATTCATCGCTCATCACCGTATCACTGGTTTGCAAAATTCTGATTTTCTGTTTTGATCTACAAATGTATAACATTTAAATACTTCTTTTATGAGTGAATATTAATCAAATGCCTTATATTTCATATCTCGTTTAAGTTCACACCTAGAGAAACAGCTTGAATAACAACTTTGTAGAGATATCTTTATCAATCAACTTCCTCTAGAAAATATTTGACATATTAAAAAGAACAAAAATTTAATAAAAGCAATAAAAAGGTTTTATAGGAGTAATCAGATGTCCTTATGTTCATTGTACTATAATGACTGAATCACAGTAATCATATGATTATACCTCTATTGGTTGGGTAGATTAACCATCATTAATTGACACACTAACTAATGCATTTACTGGATAAATAGGCTGTGTTGCAGAGTATTCCATACTTGATATACCCGTGATTGTATACAAAATAATCACTAACTGATTTAGAATAACCTTACTGTAGGAAAATGGGGACTTTGGAACAATACATTAAAGAGATTATTGAAATTATTCACTTCTTTGGTGAATTATGCGAAACTGACTCTATATGTTTTATTGAGAAACGAATGATGGATAGTGATTTCAAATATGATCGATATAAAAATGATATATTAAAACTTTTAACAAATAATAGACCTAAAATTCATTCTCAGAATGATTTAAAAACACCTATTTTGAAATTGTTTGATAAAATTATTGTGTTTGATTGTGTGGATTTAATTGAGAAAAAGAAAAACTTTTTCCAACAAGCTTTAAATCATCTTGAAAAGACAGCTGGAAAGTTAATAATCATTAAAAAACTTCGGAAATGGACAACAACGTTCGATGAAGAACAGAGTGGAAAATTCAATACTGAATGGACATCTATTTTAACAGATTTATTGGATGCAGGCTTTAACATTCAGTGGGACGTAAGTAATTTACTTGCTTTAAACAAAAATTTAATATGATTTTCAACCTATATTCGATCATACAGCACAACGACTTCGATATATTTTTGGCGTCAAAGACCACTTATTTCTAACTTAAAATCTTGGATAGGAAAAATTCTATACTATCATGTTTGTTCATTTTTATTGGTATGTAAGACTTGCAGTAACTATTTGACAGATTACATTAGAGCATGTATTATCAAGAATACGAAATATTCTGCCATTAATTTTTACGGGAACCCTACTTTGCTAACTTTCATTGGATGTTTTAAAATAATAATAATAATAAAAGGTTGGCTTCAGAATGAATCTACCTAGAAAAGAACAAGTGACTTAAGCCCTCATTCTGAAATAAAGATTTCACATTTCATACCTGCCCGAATTCTCAACGTTAATTCACCTAGGTTATAAGGATACCTTCGGCTAGAAAAACAAAAATGCCTACAGAGACTACAGTGATACTATTTGTGACTTATTCCATAAAACATCCTTTAATATACTGGCGATAATGTCGCCTATGCACGGCTCACCACTTGTAAATTCTTTTTATCCATTTTATCCCAGTCTAATTCAGGTTAGTTTCGAAAGAATGACTATTGAAAGAGTGAATCCGCATCATATGATAATGACAGAGTAAACAGTTAACTGATACTGTAGCGACAGAATATAATGGCCAGGCAACAGATTGTTTATTGAGAAAATCAAGACATATTCAGATTTTTATGTACATTTTTATTCATTATTGTTAACAGAGAGGTAACGTCTTCTGATTGGTTGTTTTCCTGCTGAAAATAATTCTGTCATCCCTTTGTTGCCGTTTCTTAGACAGTCCGTTGATATATCTTTTAATCGTATCTGCCCAAGCTAAGTCTGCCGTGATTGGTTGTTGAGTTAGTCTTGGTTCTTGTTTTTTTCTCATGACAAAGATTTGGGACGTAAACACTGACGTAAATTGCTGTCTACCAATTTTAGCTAGCACACAACTCTCATCACAATACAAAAATACCTCTTAAAAAGTGTTGACAAAAGGTTAAACTTGACCATCATATTAAGAATGAAGGTGACAATCTGTTAATATTATTTACTGTATCAAACTTACAGAATTCCTGAAGTGAAAATTGAATACTATGATCAGACACTTGATATTGGTATACATCAGATAAACGACATAGTTTTACTAGTATGTGGACTTTCATTTAATGCACATCATTTCAAATCAATTTTATAGGAAATAATTGCGTGTTAAGTCTTACAGTCTGGGTCCATGTATTTAACTGTATAGTGTGTTCAAGTATTAAGTAAATAAATTCATTGATTGCATTGACTTTAGATGTCAAATAAAAAAGCATTTATTGAGATAAAGAGATATATTTTCTGAAGGTCCAGAACTCTGTCAACACCAAAATGTCATTGATGTAAAGGAATTCAGTTATGTGGATATAATTTGCTTCACAGATTTCTTTCATCCCATTTTAGAGACTGTTAGCCAAATCAGTGATGCCCATCTAACTGTCCTAACTTATATGCTTATGGACATGTATCTTATTTTAAGTAAACAACTGATTGTAGTTATTTCATCGGATGTTAAACATATTCATGTACAGTTTTCTCTTTGTCTGTATACATGGGTAGTATCATTCTTTGACTCCTTAACACTATTTTACAGTCACCATATTTGATAAGGGGAAATACAACTCACGCTAATCATAATGCTGAGACTAAGGATCGATACAAGAAGACAATAAATAACTCATCTGAAGACAGAATACACAATACTGATTCTCAATTATTCCTGAGCTCTAGAGTCCACACAGATAAATACAGAAGACAGCTTCGTCCAAGCTGGTGGGAACAATCGACATTTGTTATACAGAAATACAAATACTAATCCTTTTTCAGAAAGTTAAACCATAAATAACTAATTCACTAGTTATATAAGTTTGGGGCTTAATATTTTCCAACCACATTATAATGAATATCACGCCTAGCCCCTATCAACTGGTTTTAAAATTAGGCAAAATCATGAGTATAAAAACATTTCTAACCGGAAATATTTCCCAATTCAATAAGTGATTTGACATATTCAGAAAAGTTGACAAAAATACATAACTAGGCATTAATATAAGTGGAGAACTAGAACACTGTAGTAGTATGTAATTTTCTATCAGTTTGCTTATTGGAAATGTTACACAGTATTATTTATTGAGTGATGTTTCAAAAGTAATAATTAATTATTAAGCCTGTTAAACCAATCAGTAAGCAATGGTAGTGGGTATTGATGTACGTATAATAGATTATTCAGCTTAATGAAATAGACTGGACTGATGGAGACAGGCGTTTGAAATTGATATGTATCCACATATATATTTATGTGTGTGTGTGTGCATGTTGGTCTCTCTTTCTGTTTGCTCGGTTAGTCTGTGACCACTTCACTTGTATGGACTTGTCTCCTTTATCAATGTATATTCCATATTATATTATATATAATATGAGTGTTTGTTGACAGTCCGTTGCTTGGTGACATATATCCATATATGTTTGTTGGCATGTCTGCTATATTCGCTATGTATAATTGGATCGACACTCCATTATAATTAGCCATTCATGTTAAGACTGTCTAATGATTTTTCCCACGCTTGTCTGAATTATTTATATATTCGCATTCACAATTCTGTGTGAACTACTTTACTTTACAACTACTTACTTACTTATCACTTTGGTGTGAGACCATTTATTTTCGTCTCCTTGTGTTTGGACAATAGAAGTATCATCGTAAACCTAGTGGTCTTCTGATTTCCGCCTTCTCGCGTCAGGACTATTAATTTCTCGACCAGTCCATAACAATAATTTAGCGACGAGTACATAACAATTTGGCGACGGGGAAAACTAGTACATAACAATTTGGCGACGGGGAAACTAGTACATAACAATTTGGCGACGGGGAAAACTAGTCCATAACAGAAATGGAGCGACGATTGCTACCCAGCCGAGAAAACAAACTTGTGTTACGATTCCAAGCTGCTTTAGTCAATATGGCTCATTGTCAATAAAAGTGATGTGTGCATATGATGAAACAAAGCATTTAGACTAAAAAACTGGTCCACTGTTTTCGTGGTGATCAAGTATAGAGACTAATTTAGAACACCATTTTAATTCATAGTGAAATAAACAACAAGAAGTAGGAGGTATTGTTTCGTGCATTTCTGTATATTTGGAAAGGTAGAAAACACTTGCACACCAATCTGATGCTCATTAGTGACAGGCCCTATTCAGGCAGGTAATTACATGGGTGATAGTGGGAAGTCATGACTACTGGGGTACAGCAGGTCGGATGCGAGGACAGATACTCGCCGATGATATTCGTTAGTGGTCGCGCCATATCAGTAATTGGCAGAAGTTGGAATTCATGGGCCACTGGATGAGACCTAAGTAGCTTAATGGTCTACGGGCTCACCGTGCAACCAAAAGGTCCTAGGTTCGGAAATCAGTGGGTACCTACTGTTGAGGAGTCCCATATTGTGACGAAACAACTGGCCAGTACTCCCAGGTTTTCCAGTGGTTCTCTAAGCGATGCCATTTCATGATGAAGTCCTAATGACGTTTTGTTCTGTAAGGAAGCACAAACAGAATTCACAGGTCAGGAAAACAAAGTGACGGCCCTGGTTAGGTATGTTCTCAGGGAATCAGACATAGCGATATTGCATATAAAACACCTGCTATCGGTAATTTCACCTAGAAATTAAAAGGTGCACTAATTTACCTGAACCGAAATAACTGACCAACTACCTACGATGTAGGTAAAGCAATTGGAATAATGAATAATAGGATTATTAAGAGAATTATATGTTTCACTGAAAATAACTGTTTTATTCATTCAAGCTCATTGGAATAAACAGTATACGCGAATATTGAAATGAAATCAGTTTAGTATGTAGTCAATCCTCTATTTCTTTTATTGATAGATGATCCTATTATATATATATATATATATATATATATATATATATATAATTTAATTTAATCTGAAAAGTTATGGAATTTCTTCTCATTCTGTATACGATGGAAATTTTAAGAGTTTGCATTTTTTGTCTACAAAAACTTTTCTTATTCAGTCAATGGATCAATGTCTTTCTTTTTCTTTTCAGGTAATTGATATACCTATCAATGTGAATTGTAATCAGTGGATGGATAGTATGAACAATTATTCTGAAGGTTTAATTCAATATATGCACACATCTCTCAGATACATCCCATTAGATAATGAACAAATTAGATTAAATGAACAACTATTAATAATTGTAGCCTTTCCAAAACTTCAAAGTGACTATAAATTGAATTCAATAAAACGATCAGTACAATCATTCCATAAACAAAATAATAATTCGAATTTATATCACAATAAAGTAAGTACTTTAATCGGTGATTTTCCTTTGTAAAACGAAAACTTGTTCATCCATCATTAGTAAAATGTTGGATTATACTCATTATCATTGTGAAACAGTAGAAAACGAAAGAGATGGTAGAGGTTCGAATCCTGTTCCACCTAATTCAATCTAGGCAAGTGTGTAGTATCATCAACCCTCACAACACGCATGCCTTGTAGCATGGAACATCAAAGATCTGTTTCAGTAAGTCAGTTCAAACAAATATAACACCTTAAAATATTATAAGAACAAACACAAGTGTAAAGAAGTGTGGCAAATAATGAAGGAAGAGCATAAACACCAATAGAACTAACAAGCTGTGGGATATAAATTTGCATGTAGTAGGCTGGAAGTTTGCAGATCAAGTGTAGCCAAGAGAAGGATACACATTAAGGTGTATAAGAAGTCAGCATACTAGGAGGGAGAAAGAAGGGACTAACATCTGAAGTCAGTAATTAAGATCAAAGCTAAAGTGAGAATTGAACTACATTATTTGGCACAAACAATTCTAGTCTCTTTATGATTAGAGAGAAAACTACCACAAGGCAAAGAAACATACCGCTTCCGAGAAACCTCTTCTCACTTTGTAAGTGTGCTCTGACTTTAATTAAAAAGTGGTTCTCGCACTTATTACTAACGAGAACTTCTACTCAAAGATTTTACAAGGAGATCAAAGACTGAAATTTTAGTTTGAAGTATAATCAAGAGTTCAGGCAATTCAAAAACCATCAATGCAATTAACTAAGATCCAACCATAAATTTCAAAGGTGTGGATAGCCACACATACAGGAATAACGAGTAGTTTCATGATGGTGGGATTTAAAACACAAAATAATCGAGCAAAGAATATTCTTTTCGATAAATTCCTCTTCCGGCTCTACAACTATATGTGTGTTTATATACACAGAATATTCTAGATTAGATTTTTTTAGATTTTAGATTTACAGCTTGATTCCACACTGTATTTTTGGTACAAGTATGGAATTTTCAGCATGGATATCGGTAGCCCGAATTTCGCAGGCCGACCATAGATATCAGGTGTGCGCCGGCGTGGGCTCGAACCCCGGACCATGTGCATGGTCGGCGAGAGTCCTAACCACTGTGCCACCGACGCACCAGTAGTCAATAACAATATTAGTGTTCTTTAAATATTATTATCGACTTGTAAAGGATGATCAATGCAATTACAGTTCATTAAAGATGCTTAAATATATGATGGGATTTATCACATGTACCCACATAATTGATTGATGGAGAAAACGTAAACCACAACTTCGAACGAATACATGGTTTAATTATTGGACTTCTGACAGAACTGCACTTCCGTGTAGCCTGGTAAGACAGTGTTCTTGAAAGAGTACTCATTGAAGACAAGTTGACATACACGAACCGAATTGATCACATAGGAAAGCTGTAGCTTCGGTCTAGTGAAATGTCTAGAGTGACCAGAGAATACTATCTTCAAGGTTGACTTGGAATAGTTCTCCTAAAGCAGTTAGGTCTATATTTTTTCGGTATGTTAAGCACGGATTCACTTCTGAAACGCAAGTTCATTTATAGCATCTCCTTTTGAACTTCAGTAGATAGCTGCTGTTGGTTTTATCTTCCTATTCAACATTGAAGATCTATCTTCATAACCCCTACTCTAATTGTGAGTCTCTGATTTAATAACCCATCTGACTGGTCTAGGCGTCCCACTTCCGAACAGAGGATTACACGTTCGAATCCCGCTCCATCTACTGAGGTTTGTTCACTCAGGTAGTATCACTAGCCCACACATAATAGGTGTGGCTTATTGCCAACTGGATACAATCGTTGCTGAGTAACGTTTCATTTATTTTGTATTGATTGCTTTTAAAACAATTTGCCTTTATCCACCCAGAAGAAACACAAATGCACATCCTGTTTTAGAAAATAAGTTGTGATAATCCCTTATTTGTTTACCACCTAAATAAATATCTTCAGTTTGGTCAACTAATTTGAAGTGATGAGGTGGGCAGCACGATACACTCACGGATAGAGTCCTTACTTTAGCTTGATTGCGGAGAATACGACCGTGTCATGGGAAGAGTATGGTTATCTGAACAATTAATGCACTGACAGCGAACAAACATTTATCTGTGACACAAAAATATCCTGTAATAATTTATCCTTCCATCTTCACGGTCATTTACCACAACACTAACAGTGGTACTAAGACAATTTGATAATACGGGAATTCATGGCGATAACTAGCAGTTAATGTATACTTACTATGGAGAGTTAAAATACCGTCTGGTCAGTAAATCTAGCGTTTAGGATGAAATTCAATACACATGTAGTGAATATGGCCTAAGCCTATTAGTAGACGGCATTTGACTGTAACAATTATTAGTAAACAATTTAAGTCAATCATACGTGTCTTTTTTGTTCCATATATTTAGACTCATATAGTACCATTAGATGTAACACAAATGCAACATATACTGGACGAGAAACTGCCTGAAATTATTGCACACTCAATTAAGTCAGTTAATAAACAGCACAGAAACTACAGATCAGAATGGTGGGGAACAGTTGTAGCGGATAAATGGGTAAATACAGACTCTTCCAGAATACCTAGTAAACGTTTAATCTTTTTCTAACATTTTATGCTTTGTACGATTGGAATTTAAACATATGTCTGTGTTTATTTGCCAATTCACTAGTAGTCTATACATAACTTGTCAAATATTGGATATATGTTCTTAACGAATGTCTTTTCAAAGTATAAACTAACTGTTATCTTTAATGATTTTTTATATCTTGATTATTGTTAACGATACTGTTATATGATATATTTTGAAGCTTTACATCGTGCATTCAAAAAGCTGTACGTGCATAAACTTTCAGTTCGTTTGTGTCAAGTGTTTATACTTTAACTTGGTCACCTGACTTTAAGATAACAGATCGATAAACAAATACGACAAAAACCCTGACATTTTTCGAGCAAAGGAGATTAGAGTACACTTCAACTTGATGACGCCTAATCTGAGTTCTTTACCTACGATCCAAGGAAAAATTCACCCTAAAAGATTAACAAAGGTTACCTATAAAAATTAATTGCTTCGTCTACTTTTCAAGTGTTTAACAACATTTTTCTGCGGAACTCCACAACTAAAGTCGTTCTCCTTAGACTATACTGAAGTAACGGTCTATAAAAGAAGAGCAAAACTTTAACGGAAACATAACACTCGTGTTTACAATCAAGTACTTCAGAAATCAATTACTATTCAACTGAACCGGTTTTAAAAGAAAACGAATCATATGAAGTAATTCAATCATTAAGTAACACCAATTACGGTTCATATTTTAGGAGTAAAAAATTTTCTCCAAAACATAAAAGAGGTTTATCAACATATTTTGTGAAAACAAAGTTACAAACAGTAATTAAGCTATTTGAGCATCTTTAATTTTAAGCGACTTAATTACAGCATTTGGAGAATTTTTCAGCTTCCATGGAACATTTTTATATACAGCAATCCCATTATCATTTACTCTAAGATCAGGTTTAACTTGTTCGAAAATTTTCTTCTTAGGGTTTAGTTGTTCATCAGGATCATCTAAGAAAACAGTAAAACAAATAAACGAATAAATAGTAGGCGAAAGCAGGATCAAGTTACATAATTATATCGCACATGATGTCAGAACAAGGATAAAACAGGCATACAATTATACCTAAAAGCTGATTTGGGTTACTGAGGCTGAGATGGTTAGGACATGTGTTACGTATGCCAAGTCATCGCCTCCCTCGACGAGCAATGTTAGCGGATATAGGGTCAGGCTGGAAAAAAGCTAGCGGCGGTCAAACAAAAACTTGGCATCAGTCAATGAAATCCACAACAGTTGGTCTAAGCCACGTAGGAAGGTGTAGACTTCCTGGTTGGGGTCCTCGGGACGGTAAAAATCTATGGTTGGAAACAATTGGTGACATGGCTCAAAATCGTTCTCAGTGGCGCAGATGCATCCACTCCTTGTGACATATGATCTCCAATGAAACTGTTTTGTTCTTCGTTATTACGCCTCCTTTGTCTCACCCCTCTGCTCACAGTTTCTATTATGCTTTTCTTATACTTTCTTCTCTTGCTTCGCGTGCTACACGGAGTGTGGCGACTTGAACTTCCGCACATTTGTGCAAAGTTCTATGTCGAAAACAGACAGACAGACAGATTTGGGTTACTGCTAACTCTGTATAACAAAACGCGATCCTTTTCCTTGGTAATTACTTGCAGGTGAATAACATATCAAAGGAATAGTCTATTCAGTAAGCCTACTGTAGTTTTAACACTTATTTTACCTATAATAACCATTTTACAAGCATAGAGTAAACCACACAACCTAATGGTCACGCGTGCATGCTCACTTAACTAAAGGTTATAGAATGGTATGTGGAGACTCTATGCCACTTCTTTATGAATACTAGAAGATGTGGAATCTGACGGCACCACCAGTGTTTGGTATTTAAAGTATTTATATCACTAATTCGGGAGTATGTTATATGACAGAGTCGAATGCTCAGATTATATAGTTGTATTCTAGAAATGCCTAACAAAAACTCTCGAAATATGATGTACAGTATCAAGAAACCTTACAAATAAATAAGCTCAACAACGAAAACCACGTATACACAATTGAGAATTGGGCATTTTACCTGGTGACCCGAACTTCAAAGGGAATTAGAATCCTTATTTCTGAAAGCTTTATATAAAATAATTATGGATGAAAGGACTGTAACTGGCTATTACTGAACCTAGACTGACAAAAAACAACTTTAACCCAGTAAACACCCTATGATACTGGGCCACTTCCCAGCAGGAATACCAACATTCATTGGGATGAGTTAATTTTTTTTAAATTTAATTTTTGATTTACAGCTTGATTCCACACTGTATTTTCGGTACAAGTATGGAATTTTCAGCATGGATATCGGTAGCCCAAATTTTGCAGGCCAATCATAGATATCAGGTGTGCATCGGCAGGGGATCGAACCTCGAACCATGTGCATGGTCGGCGAGAGTCCTAACCACTGTGCCACCGATGCACTCAGTTCACTCAGTATACAAGTTCTAAAACAAGATGTACGTCCTGGAACCTACTACTAATCAACATTATATGTGACGGAGTATAGAACATCAACTATCAGTAAAGTATGTCAGAAGAACTACAAAAACATTTAGACAATACAGTTTAACACTGCTACCCACTTGATACTGAAAGACGTAAAATTAATTATTGGGGAAAATCAAGAAGCATAAGTTACTAAAACATTACTTTGCTATTGCAAATGACACTTAATAATTTTAGTTTTCAAATCAGAACACTGTAATTACTTACGTGTAAAACCATCTACTATAACTGAATCACCCAAACGTATATCCTGACATTCAACTATAAGAGGTTCAACTCCACTAGTCTCAGGAGCACTTGCACACATTAGCATTGCTTCGGATTCGACACCACGCATTTTGGCAGGTTTAAGATTGCACATAAATATTCCCACTCGATTTTGTAGTTGCTCGATTGGGACAAACTTAACCAAACCACTGACAACAGTTCGTATTTCATTTCCACCTAAGTCCACCTAGAAAGAACAATAAGCAATCAAATGATAAAGTACATGTAGACGTCATACATGTTAATGTACTAGATAATAAACCACATGAAGTGGGAGTTAGTTTGAGCACGACAGTAACTGGTCGAAAGTTAGGTGATGGAAACCAACAAAATAGGTCCTCACAATATGGCATAGTAGAAAACACAAAAATATGAGTCACACAACACGTGGATTGGTATATTATGCATTCATGGTAGGATCGGTAAAGTTTCGTTTATCTGAGATGAATTGGGAAATAAAAATGACTAAAAATACACGTAACTCACCTTCTCTACATATAACGAGTCAGCATCAGGATGACGACTGACATCAATTATTCGACCAACACGCATATCCAGACGCCCAATATCAACTGGTTTTTCAGCAGATTGAGTTTTATCCTCCGGTTTCTTACGTTCGTTTGCACTGGGTTTACTTTTCACAGGATCTTTTTGCTTTAGCAATGTTTGATCTGGTTTTACAGAACCTTGGAAATGAAAATAATGAGTTTTTAACATGATGTCTGAAACCTAGTAAGAAAGACTATCTTTATATTCTTAATAAATACCACTCTTATAGTTCAATGATAAGCTGAATTATAGTGTTATACACTGAAAACAAACTCAGTGCAGTATGAACACTATGAAAAGCACTCAGTAACAAAATGATCAAAGAATACATAAAAGTAGCAATCAGACTAAAAATTCAATTGAATAATATCACGTCTGCTCATTAGTCTAGGCGCTCTACTTCCAACCAGAGCCTTAAGTTCAAAACCTACCAAGATTATGGCAGCCAGGTAAAATCACTAGCACCCAAAAAGTAGGTGTGGAGCACGGAATTGCAAGTGGTTGCCGAGTTGCATCACTTCATTTTTTCGCTTCAGGTCTGTGTAACGGACGACACAAACAATGTGAAAATGTCTCAGTTACTCCTGAAATATACTTAATCCAGCAGTCTACTAGCAACATTGATTGTTAGGGCTTGTGATACTACTCAGTTGCCTCAGTCAAAGTAATTGGAGTGGGATTCGAATCCCAGGCCCACTAGCTGAAAGTCGAGTATTTAAGCCACTGAACTTTCACCACGTTATTATCATTGTTATGGGGTTGGTTTATATTATTTTATTCACACGACATCCAAAGCATTTTACGACATCAAAAAAAAACAATCGTCATAGACAAGTTCAACGTGATTTTCTAAGATAATAAGGGCATTAACAACCCCAGAGAGGAAATGCAGACATTTGCAGCTTCACTGGGAATCAAGTTCATTTCAATATGTGCCTGAATCTCTTTTATATACTATCTTCCAATTCATACTTAAATATCCTGACTAACTGGTTTTAATACAGAACTTAGCACAGATGTGCAGCAGTTCGAGTACTCGCACTCCCTCCATGTAACGCACAAAGCAAGAGAAGAGAGTAAACAGAGATTCAAAAGAGAGATAATAAACAGAGATATGAGGCGAAAAGTGTAGTAGTATGGAAAAAAATTGAGTTTTATTGGATATGATAAATCGCAGAATGAATGCATCTGCGTCGCTGAGAACGATTTTGAGCCATATAACCAATTGTCTCCAGCTACTGATTTTTACCATTCCGAGGACTCCAACCAAGCAGGCAATCTACACCTCCTTACGTGGCTTAAACTGCCTGTTGTAGATTTCATTGACCAACGAAGCCAGGTCTTAGTTTGACCCACCACTGGGTCTTTTTCAACCTGATCTTATATCAGCTAGCTAACGTTGCCGGTTGACGAAGGCTACGGCTATCCATGAATAAAACATGCCCTAACCATCTCAATTGGTGTAGCTTTACAAACTCGTCGATTGACTTCTCCTCCCACCTACGTAGCACCCGACTGATGCCTAACCTCAATATTGCTAACCATATAATATCCACTAAGACGGGGAGATAGAAAGCAAACACCTGTGATGAAAGACAACTAGCCTTTATATGTCTCACTTTCAATGGCCATAACTTACAGACATAGAGGAGGACGAAGAGGACTGCTGAACAGTAAACACGCCCTTTGGTTGACAGGAGAATATCCCGTCTACCAGAACCAACTAACTATGAGATCTGCTTGGCTAAAGAAGTCTGAGCAACAAGATATCCAAACCAACACAAAGTCAACATTTTAACTTTGAGTGAGGAAGATTTCGCCTTATTTTATTTACACATTTATTACACGCATATATATATATATATATATATTCATTTGATGATATAAGATAGTTGGAGGCAATCGGCTACAGGAAGCCTTCATATTCATTTGCGTAGTTACTCATATGAATGGATCTCAGTGCAAGATAACAGTTAGGCTTGAAATTTTATAGTGTCTGGAACTCAGAAAAGACGAAATCAAAGAACTTGGCGTATTCGCCTAGAAAAGATAAAATTCACTGCACATTGTTGTCAACTGCATTCACTTAAATGGCAATGCTTAATCAGGTTGTATCTTTAAGGACTTTGTCTTCACGAGTACAGGGGTACCATATTGTAAAATGTGATTAAAAGTAGTGCACATGTGAGTTGTTTCATTTGCAAACGATGACACTAGCATTCCGTAACACACCAGTCATAATAATTTATATACGCTATACAGATGTTTTGTAAAATGACACAATAATTGAGTAATCAATTAACCTTTATAAACTGTGAATCTTACGGATAAACACAATGAAAAGAATATTGTTAACCTACCTGTATGTGGTGTTTCACTCTCCGGTTTGGCATTAGTTGAAGACAAATTGTCACCCGTGGTAGGGGCGCTTGACATTGCCTTACGGTTTTCATACTGATTTACTATTTATAGAAGATATTTATAAATTAACTTAACTAACACCCAAGTAATAGTTCTTGTTGAACAACGGCATCTTTCAGAGACTTTATCTTGTTAATCAACTCTTCATTTCGTACTTTGAGGCATTCTGCAACATACTGTATTGCTTCTGGTGTGGCAAGTGACTCCAACTGTTTCAGTTTGCTATTGATAGACTGTATCAGTTTCTCCATCTTCAAAAGAATTTTTTTTAAATAATGTAGCAGAATTTGGTCTTTTTGTAAACTTTGCAATTTGGCTGTAACTTGTTTTAAATTACAATATTCAAGAAAATCGCAATTTCTTACTGCAGTCAGCTGGAAATGACTAACTAACTACTCGGATGCAGAGGATTTAAAACATTATGAAATATACGCTACGATTCTGAGAGACTCGTTTGAAAAGATCCAATGTCATATCTCGAACTAGAATTATGAGATGAACCAAAATAACCATTCCAAATTCATTTTCATAATAACTCATACTAGGGCAATAATTGTATCTCTCTGTCACGTTCTCAACATTAATACTAGCTCACTTGGAAACACTAATCACAAATAGATGACTCACGACAAATTTCGCAGTCTTTCTGACACTTAAAGGTTGTGTTTCAGTGTACTTATGAGCTGATATAGGTGTAGTGTATCATCGAAAGGCAAATATAAAACTACTACGCTTCGCACCTGATTTTTCCGTAGACCCCACACATGTAAGTCCGGGACGTAAAAATTATGCAGTTCACTTAATCAGAATCCTAGTGAGTCTTCCTGGGGTATGACGTAAACCCACTTAGAATTATCTTTAATTTTATGAGATCACCAACAGAATAATGGTGGTGCAGTGGTAATTCTGAAAGAAATAACAACGACCCTTGTTTTTGTTACATCACACCTGCGTTATTTTCCATTCATTTGACCCAGGGTGAAGTGAAATAATAGCAGCTACCCCGATCGAATTTTCTAAAGACCTTGAGAAACTATTTAGACCAAACGACATAAAATGAGGGGATACAAAGTTGAACTCAACAGAATAAAAACGCGAAGTAAAAACCGATATTCGACTGTAGTTTAAACTATGGAGAACTACCGATGTTTGCCCGAAAAACACTACTTACACAAACCCAAACGACAGAAATTTCACAAGCAACCCAGTGGTGTTTTTGAACTATTCTCCCTACGACACACGTTACTAGCTAGTCAGTGTAGTGTAATGTTACGAACAGTGACTTTAATGTGATGCAACCCACTTCCTACATGGATTACAGTAACACGCCGCCTCACCTGTTGCGTCATATTCTATTGACGCGCCCGTACGCATGTTCGCGAAGGTTTGAGTTAGGTTTTAGGTTTCTTGATTTCAGTTTTTTGTATTCGTCATATGTTTCTAATTTGTTGACTAAATAGGTGGTTTGTATTAAATACCTCTAGCTACATACTTATTAGAGACTTGATTCGCGAATTTCAAACATGTTACAATGTGAAAACAACTCCGGAATTAATAAGTCTTTCATTGGTCAGCGGATGCCCAAAAAAGATGCTGAAATAGTGCAAGTTTCTTACTGCATGGTTCTCTGAGCTTGAGTTCAGCGTATAATTTCACTTTCTTAGTTTCACTACAGCACTTAACGCTTCGCTTCACAAATGACTTGTACTGCAGCAGCAATGATATACATTTTCAACGCGTTCCACGACTGCTGTTGAAATAGTTGCAACTTGTTTTATTTTGCGTGGCATAGAGTATGTAGGGCCGGCTTGAGCCTTATGTGTAATACACATTTGATTAGAAGGGAAACTCCACAAGATTTGAAAATTATTCATGAAAAATTAAGATATTTCCAATATGATTTTTCACTATATTTTATTTAAAAGCAAGAAATTTGCACCATTTCCCCGTAGATCGGTCGTGCCTACTTCAAAATGCCTAAAAATAAAAGACCATCAAATTCCTCATAAACCACAAATTTTACAGTCATATCAGTATGTGTCGTAAAATTATCCACTTGGCTTTCTTCTTAATCTACGATATTTCAAGCCATAGAATTTGGAACCTCTATATTTCAAACCCCTGTAGGTGACAGTAGTTTCTTACAAAAGTTTTAACTACATCGGCCGACCTCATGTCAAATTAGTTTAAAGAAGCTTCAGGTCACAGCACCGAAATTATTCATAGTCACCTAAGATGATTACCTTTGACACATCCTGAGACTTATGAGTAATTTTAATTACATAAATTCCAAAAACGGGTCAGCAACTCACTGAAAACCACGTTTGAGGGCTACTTAATCAAGTATACAAAAATTTATAGCTTTTCCTGATGTATAGAAACCGTTTCAAAATTCCTGCATTTGTAGGGAAATAATCCAGTTTGACATTTTTGGAGCACTTAAAGGTATTGGCGTTTGTTGATATCAGTACATCCAGGTAAAGGAAACAAAGTCTTCTTTTGTCTTCCTCTTAGGATTTTGTGTCACACTTAAACCGACTTCACAAGTGGCTACTTTGATATCAGTGAACCTGTAAAACACTCTAGCTTTCTGGTCATCTCCGAAAAGTATCTCAAACTTTTGAAACTATAGTCAGTTTAATAGCCTTCTACTTTAGTGTCTAGATTATCACTTTTTCTCCAAAGCCTCTGACAATCACTGCAGACTTATAAATATTTCGGCTTACTCCACTCTTGACGTAGATGGAAAGTAAGCAACGACAATCCTCGTTGAATAAACAGGAAGTCTGTAGGACTCGCAGTGCTTAAGCATATCAATAACGCACAGGTTTAGGACAGAAAACGTGCTGAAACCTTCCTCAAATTGAACTTAAGGTATTTCCTTCGGGAGTTGAAATAATGATTTATATTTCTAATTAGCGAGTAAGTTTACATGAACTTCACACCAGTTTTACGAGAACTATCAGATATTTTATAAATTTTGATGATGAAGTTTCATAAACTAGCACCTTTTCAAGAGTTTAAACTGTTGGATCATAGTATGAGCAACCAGAGCAGGTTCGTATAAATGTTAAGTTGTAAACTATTCACTAAGGCCACCATTCGAAGTTGAGCACCAACCCAAACTTCGTTCCATTTTCTGATGCCAGTTATGGCCGAACGACAAACGACCCTTTTTGCCAGAACTGTCGTGATCCAACATAATTTTCACTTTGATTCCTAGTATACCTTGTGAAAGCTGCACGTGGCGAACAGCTTTGTCAATGTAGTAGTTGACGGGGTCACCAGAATGAATCATTAAACCATCACAAAACTTCATGGCTTTAGCTCTTTGACCCTTTATTTTACCGGAAACAACCACCACTGCACCCCTTGCTCCGGATTCCATAATGAAACGCAAGATACCGTAACACGCCTTCCGAACAGGCAGACCGTATGTAAGCTTGTATCTGAGAGACTCTGCTTGTGCGATAGCACTCAGACCGCAGAAGGTCATTTTTTCTGCAAATAGTCCTAAAGTTCCATCAGGGAATCCAAAACGCTTTTGCAAGACTGATGTGAGCTCTCGGATGCGTCTTGAAATCTCGCCGAGAACACCTTGTGTTTTCGTAGCTAGTATAATAACTTCTGTGTATTTACGGCTTTCGCGCACTTGGAAACCGCTGTATCCATCATCAGCCAATTCACGTTTTAGGAACTCATCCAACTCAGCCTTAAAAACTCCGGCTTTTATGAACTTCCGCTTTAGAGAAATTTTCGCTGTATTAGCCATGATTGCAAAGCACGCTGAACCAACAATTCCCGCTTACACGGCAGACTTAAATGGCCGCCACGTGCCTGAACGCCATTTCAGGAAAAGAAGAAAATCTTGCGCAGCTGAAAAGTGGTATAAAACGCAATCATGAATAATACATTATTGTTAGCATATTTACAAGATAAAAACAAGAAGGAGCTGTTCAGTACTTGAAATGATAGCACATATTAGCAATATATGATGCTAAACATATTGGTCTTACCATGGAAAACTTTGACGTTTTCTATGAAAATATAGTTATTCGCAATCATGAGTGCTGTTGTTTTTTTTTTCTCCTATCAAAGCGAACAGGCCCTATGCGAGAGAACAATATGAAGGAAAAGTGTAATTTTCAGCTTCATTAAAGACTTAAGGATAAAATAGAGTATAATAGTAATAAGATTAAAAGACTGTCGTGAAGCATATAAGTGTCATTTCAGAGAAGTGGCTTGAAAGATTAGAACCTGTTGGATATGGTGATCTGTAAGATATCTGGTGATCTTGTGTATGGCCGATTGGTTAGCACCTCGACAAGAAGCTGGGAAGACTTGTAGATGTTGGGAGGAAAAGCATATTTTTTATATTTTAGATCTGTGCAGTCATTACTGCTTTGTTTTTTTAATTTTCCGAGTTAACTTTTTTGTAATGATGGTCCAAACTCATGTTTAATTCTAGAGATGTCAACAAATGCATGTTACTTTCCTACAGGTCACAGCGATTCACATTTCTGAACACTGCTATGTCTGCTGATCACCTCTGAGAACTTTCGCAATTACTGAAGCCGTAATATTGTATTCCGATGGTATATAATACCCTTAAAATCGACTCAGAATAGAGGCTAACAAATTCTTAGGATGTGAAACATAGATGGGATAATTTAAACTTAGATAATGAAGAAAAATGGTTAGTTTTGACAGTAACTTTATATAAACGTACAGCTATAAATATGACGATATAGGCAGTCAGAAACCAACTCGTTTCTGAACAAGAACTTGAACTTAGCACGAAGGTGCCACTCAAGAACATAATGCTTGGAGTGAAGATTTGCCTAAATTCCACAGTATTTAAATTCCAAAGGAAAATATACAAACAAATTGAGAGAGTTGCCATTGGGTCATTAATATCCCAGGCTGTCGCAGATATATTCATGGATAGTTGGGAAAACGTAGCGATTGAAATGTTCAAACCCACCACATAAGTATTGTGGAGATATGTAGATGACACATTCACTGTACTCTGAACGCAAGATATAAATAGATTTTCGAACAAATTGACCCAAAAGTGGAGGCACTTCAATTCGCTTATTGATTGGAAAATCAGAAACGGAAGCTTTCAGTGCTAGGTTTTAGCGTAATAAGGGAAGAAGATGGTAAGTAAAACTCCACTGTTTACAGCAAACCCACACATTCAGACAGACATTTGAACTTCCGATCATCCCATCCCATGCCAGTGAAAATAAGATTGGTGAAGTGGTTAAATAATAGAGCACAATACATGTTTAAAATCCGTATCCTAAAATATATTGATAGCAGCAGGTCGCAAGGAGAATTTGGGAGGTCTTTGGTTACCATTTTGACGTCTTTTGCCTCTTTCATTGGATGAACTTTTATTCCTATCGGACCGGAAATTGATTATTCTTCTAGGAGAACGCGGATGGACAAATTTATATGGTTCCGAAGCTTGACTTTCAATAATAGCATGCATCCCACAAAGTTCACTTGATGAATGTTGGGATAAAATAAAATTCTTCCATGAAGCGCAAAATGGACTGAAGAATGATCGGTATTGTGCTAAAAACCTGTTGAGAATTTAAAACAACTGAACAGCATGTCGAGGCCAGGACACTCTAGGCCATTTCTTGTTTTTAGATCTAACAAATACTCTAGGCTCTGTGCTCTGGAAAGATTTCAAAATAATATCCAGTAACTCAGTGCTACCTTAGATTGCAGCCTGCCCTCAGTGCAAGTTATCTCCTATGAAGGTGAACTGAGTACTCTTTACATGAAAAAGGTGGATCACCATAGCATGGCAAGCAGCAGATATTTGTACACGGTTTTTCTCTCTTTTCCCTTACTAATCGCAAAATCACTGGAGTCTTCGAGACGGTGTAGAACTATGAAACAGCCAGAGAAATCAAGACAACTCTATTAAGTCACAGGAAGACATGATAGAAATGCATAATCTGATAAAATAGAACGGATCAACCTTTAACATCACCTGATTACGAGCAGTTATTGTACACAAATAGACAGAACAAATAATCTCCATATGTAGAGATGGACTGTTGAATGTAGAGAGATTTTCATTCCGGTTCACCTTCTGTACAATAAGTAAGATACAACAGCCTAATATGTTAAGTGACTTCGGGATTACATTTAATCTGCCTCCAATAAGGAGAGATATTTATGATTATTTGATGACTGCAACTGCCATGCCTTTTACTTCAAGGTTGGCCGAAGTTGCTGAATGTTTAGAGGCTTGCCAGGTTCCAAGGGGAAATTTGTTATTATCAAGAGACAAATCTAAAAGAATCAGTTTGAACCTGCTCCCGAAAAAGCATTGAATATTGAACGTTGTTAGAACTTCTAACCACTAACAACTAGAAGCCGTGAAGTTTTGAAAGTAAGTGTATGTAAGATTTTGAGTTTAGTTTCCCTTGATGAACGTTGGTGATGTATTTTGCGTAAAAGATGCTACGTATATTTTTACTTGCTTTTTACAAAGAGTCAACTCGTATTATAGCTCACACAATTAAGTTTCTGAGGATGCTATACGTCTCTATATTTCGTAAAAACTCTTCACGAATCAAATTAGCTTGAGTTTTGTTTTGCGCCATATTTGTGACTCAACAGAATTCACAATGACGTGTATGCGAATAATACATACATATATTCATATACTTCACACATGTAGGCGGGTGAGTGTCTTACATATCGAACAATATTTTGCCAGCAAGTTGCGAAACAATTTACAGAGTACCATAGTCTAGCGGCTCCACAGATATCCATGGGAGACGGTTTAAAATGGTTTCATAATGGAAAGTATATTATTATAAGTAACGTATATATTTTTTCTAGGCAGATTTATAAATCTCTGTAATGTCCGTAACATCTTATAGCTATTACTTGTTGTGAATAAAGGTCAGTAGCAGGTATTTTTGTTTCTCTCCCCTTTTTCACTTGTTTTAACCAGTTCCATTCTGAAAAAAGAGAATATATTATCATACTTCATCAGTAAGTTTTCAACTTGCTCAATAGGTTCTGCTTAAATCGGCACATAAAGCTCTACAAGGGAACCAAAAGTATTATGTCTTTATATTTTGTGGCCTAAAGCTTTCACTGTTTTGTTTTGCTGCAGTGAAGATGCTGATGAAACAAAATTGTCATGAAACATTCATAGGCCACAGGGTGTCTGCTTCGTCACTTAGAACTTTATCAGGTAAACTGTATGTAGGTGTGTTTTGCTTCGCATTTAAAGACAAAAGCAAAGCTTGGCTACTGAAAAGTCTTATATCATAAAGTTATTAAGTATTTTCGTTAGTGCATCTTTATAAGTGGAATGATTTTTATCCATATCTAGAAGTTTTATTGTTCTTTTTCAGTCAAGTATTCTTCAAATATCCGTCATTTTCGTAATCAGATATAAGCTTTCATAATGTACAGATATATAAAAGGAATCGTTTGTAAATCCATAACAAATGGATGTGAAAATGACCACATAGTGGTTGGTTTTAAATAACTCATCATAAGGAAATTTTGATTACCTAGGTTGTTGTCTTTCGTTCAGTTTTATTTAGGATTTTTGGTATAGACCAACCAATCTCCTTCAATGGTACGTGTGAGTTTTAATGAATAGATATTTACAGAAAATAAGACCAGAAAGACTGCTATTCTTATCACAGGAATTAAATTATTTAATGAAGAAATAAATATTATTTTTGCACACTAAAAAGTCTGGTCACTCACCACCGTGGTGAATACAGACATATATATGTACATTTATATGTATTGTTCAAAACTTTTCCTGTACACAAATAAAATCCTAATACTGGTTTTGTTACATGACCACAAAACTTAACCTAATAGGACGCAGTAAGAAAGGATGCACTGGGTTCAAAATGACTTATGGGACTGTCTTTAGTTTCTACCATTTTATTCGATTAAAACTAAGATCAACAAATTAGGTGAGTCTTTGCAAGGTTACATTGGTATACCATCTTAAATTTATATACTTATGGCATGCAAATAATTATTATTAGTGCTACAGAAGGCACTGACCAACTGTCGTTTAAAATGAGATGGTTGTGTATGTTGTATGAGTAACAAACCATTAAGTCATCAAATGTCTATTATCATTGTCATAATCATAGTTTAGGAGAAAATTCAGCCATCTAAAATGTCTGTTATTTTAAGTGACATGATGTTGAAGTAACTTTTATTTGAAATGTTATTGAATTTAATTTATTGCACTGTTGGAAAATATAGGAAGCAACACCTTCGTTTTATGAATGTGTTGACTTGGCTCTTCTATTTATTGTGCCATCTACTTCCATAGATAATATGAAGATTTAAAAAGTGTTGACTTTCACAATGAACATAAGAAGTCTCAAGTATAACATTCTGGTTGTCAGTATAGTACTGTATGGTTTTGAGGAGGAACTATTACTAATATTTTGTTTACTGCTTGTGTTTCTCGCTTAGATAAATCACAACTGGAGGATTCGGCGGATCTGATTCTTCAGACATCCGACTTTTTGAAGTTTACTTCTACTCTTCCCACCCTTTTCCAATATTAACATTGCTAGAGTACATACAGAAACTTGGAAGATGCATAATTTACATTATTCTGTGAAACCATGTCAAAACAGAACACTTCAGTATAGATTTGACAAAAGATATCAGGATGTACACAGAAAGGCAGTAAGTTTCAAATAAGAATACTATATGTAATTAATGGGAGTAATCTGGTATTTGGTTTTCAAAGCCTAAATGGATGTATAGCTTCTGTAAATTGGTAGCAAACACAAAAGTTTTCAAATCAGGTGAAAGTGTTTAGAGGGAACATAAACATATCAAGGGAGAATCATGAGCATACATATATAAATAAAGTGATTCATTAACAGCATGCACAGTACAAACGATCAACCGATATCTAGTTCTATTCTGATGTCGTCAAATCGTTTTACTCAAGCTTCTGTGGTGCTGTTCCTCATTCAAAAACACATATATTGACAGCCTGAAATATCCTTCCAACTTTTGTTGTATACCTTCTGGAAAAAATAACAACTAATAATTTTCAGAAAGTCTAAAAATAACTCTGTTCCCTTTTGCAATCCTAAAATATTCAGACCAGTTTGTTACCATGAACGGAAATCGATAGAGCAAGCACACCAGCAGGATGGTGGAAACAACTATTAGTGTTTCCTAACCAAATCGAGAAGATATTCATACACATTGAAGTTAGATGTATTTATTTATCAATGACTAACACTGAACTCGGGAAACCGGAGGTTATGTGATATTAATATCTATGGTTTGTGGAAACTTTGATGAATAAAAGTTTATAGACATCCTACTGCTCCTCCTAAATAGGTTTTAATACATAAAGATACTTCTAAATTTTTGTTATACAGCAGGAATTGCATTATGACTCTAAATAAGTGATCACAATTCATAGTGTAGGCCACGAGTCTGAAGTTTCGAAACCTCAGATGACTAAATCACCGACTTCCAAAAGGTAAAAGATTTAAATATTCATTATTATTGTCATCATCAGCATCAATAGTAGTAATAGTAGTCGTATTGATAGTAGCTGTACGTTCAATGTTAGAATTTTACTTTGTTTTAACCACTTATTACTTGACATATTTTTCAAACACTTTAAAAGATAAAGCGTTACATTCAAACAACTAATTCGTTCATTCTTTTTCGTTACTCTTGTTTAGCTGGCTGAAATGAAACCAACGGTGGACACGACCGCACCCAAAACATTCCAGTTGATTCATTTCCATTCTAAAACTCAAAGAGTGAGTGAATTAATTTATTGTTAGAAATAAATCATTGAATAATTGAACAAATGACCAACTTTTAAATTTGTGTAATTATTTTATATGCTCAGTCAAATAATACTTACACGCATACATATATTACGAAATAGATTGAGAAAGAGAATTTGAACAGAATAGAAGAAGAGAATAATCGACTTTTGAAGAGAATGCATGAAATTCATAGAAGTGGCTATACTGACAATCGAAATAATTACGTTGCAAAAAGGTTAGGTTGGTGTGTGTATTAACAGTGCTTTCTACACATGTGCAAGCATCTGCAAGTGATCCTTTTCTTTTTTTCTTCTCCAAAATCTATGTAATAAATTTAGCTTAAATAAGAAACAAAGACTGAATGAGGTAAAACGCATTACTCAGGATAATGAAGAACTTGCTAAAAAACTGAAAAACTGTAAAAATGTCTACAAACGGGAGGATTGGGAAAATGATTGGGCAAAGGCGTTAAACTATATGACAAATATATCAAAATTTGGAATGAATTCTCAGAGATGTGTATGTTTGTTTATTTCTTATTATTCCCTTGATTATCATATTCATATGATTAACAGTAAGAATTATTCGTAACTGTAAGGCCGTTTAATTTCTTCAGTCTCCACAGTGTTATTTATTTTGTTGTTAAATCCTTTAGAGTGGCTTGATCTTATTGCTTTATATTCTGTATGCTTGTCATGTTTTGATACTCTTTTCTGAACTGACATTGGGCTGATATTAGGAGAAATATACATTTATTAGTTTCCAAATGAAGATCATTAATGCTATTTCTGAAGGTAGTTTTACAGATGTTACTTCGCGGAAATTAATAAATAATAGTTGTAATGAAATTCGCTTTGTATAAGTGCAGCACTAGATAATGGAGAATTTAATAGTATTTGAGTACATTTACTTACCTACTACTATTAGTCAATTTTGAGAGGATATGATTGAGTTAAGCTCACCTTAGATTAACTGTACACTGGATGATATCTGACTGTAATAATTATTAATAAGGTGCCTTGATAAAATGCTTCAGTCACCACAGAGTGAACTAGTATCAATTAACGTGGTAGTTTGCTTTGACAAGATATGTCACGCCATTTTTATCAATGAACTCACTTGATTACCGTAAAAATCAGGAAATTAAATTCTTGGACTGAGAAGAAAATCTTGTAAAGGTGAGTTGAATACTATTAGGCTTGAGGCGCAAAGTTAGTTTTGTAATTAAGAACTCTGCTCATTGTGTGTGTCTGCAAGTTGAATATCTTCACGCTGCTAATTAACTAAATTGACTCGTATATACCGAATAATTTAGTAAACTTTCTATATATATTCTTTATGAAAAGAATGAATTTACCTTGCCTTGTTTTGCAACTGGTAGCCTTCAACTAAACAGTTATTAGAAGGTGAGTATTGTTTGAAAGCACAATGACGACTTCTAAAAACATCTAATGTTGTTTCTACAGACCCTAGTTTGAATCATTTGTCAACTGAGAAATATTTATTTATTCAGCCAGTGTTCCAGACATTTAATTAAATTGTGAATGTCACTTTATGACAAGGCTGTGAACGGGAAGAAGCTGTCAGGAATGTGAAGCGTAAGCAGAAGAAAGACGCCATGAAATCAGAACAGGGAGAGAATATACGATGCAGAGCCTTTGGGATTGGCGATCAAGTAAAGTGTGGAGAAAGGAAGGACGCTGTGAGATGTGGGCCAGGTTCACAGAAACTCCTCAGGAAGTGGGACGGACCATATACTGTCACCAAGAGATGTGGTCCCGTTTATTCCATTAAAAGAGGAAATAAACACAAACGACTTAATATCAGCCAACTGGAGAAATGGTTTCAGTGGGATAAGAAAGCTCGGACAAAGGTACAACAGGAAAAGGTAGAACCAAGAAGGTCGGAACGGCTCCGTTCGAAACTATTTGTTTAGGGGACGAGTGTGGAGAGTACTATTTATAATATTTATCAGTAGTATATAAATGCATATTCATTGGCATAAAACATCAAATAGCAAAGAGATACATTTGATTATAAAGAAGGCAAATGATACAGCATTCTGGAGATACATTGGAGAAGTGAAAGGAACACAAAGCAACACAACATGAGGTCGAGAAGTACCATAACACGAAGCTCTGTGCAGATGGTGTGTGTACATAATTTGACTATATAGAGATACCACCTTCCAAGTAAACATTCCTTTACCAAGTCTTCGTTTTGTACCGTTTCAATTTGACCAAAACCTTCAGGACCTTAACCATCTACAGGGTTTATGTGAATTCAATCAATTGAGAATCTAGTTATTATTTGTTTCTGCTCAGGTTTTACTACCATCTTAGTAAACAAATCATACTTATACACAGAAACGTATTGTAGCTGTGTCTGCCTAGACCGGTTTTGACATTATCTCATGTTGAATAATGATTTCACTTGTCTCACACAGTAAACAGACTAATTTGAAGTATATCTAATTTTACGTCAAACACCTGTTCCACAGAAGTGAAAAAAATGCTTCAACTTATTTCTATTACCAAATATGTTCAAAGATAATTTTGAATTTTATGGAGTATTTTTATTTATTTATTTTTGATTACAGCTTGATTCCACACTGTATTTTTGGTACAAGTATGGAATTTTCAGCATGGATATCGGTAGCCCGAATTTCGCAGGCCGACCATAGATATCAGGTGTGCGTCGGCAGGAGGTCGAACCCCGGACCATGTGCATGGTCGTCGAGAGTCCTAACCACTGTGCCACCGACGCACAAACATAATTTACTGAACTCAATTTATGAAAAGGCATTCAAAAATTAAATCTGTTTTTCATTAAAAATAGGCTGTTTTCAAAATATAAGTAGTGTCTACACTTATTTGTCATTGATGATTCGTCTAAGAAGTAATCGCACAAACATAAATGCTCTAGTTATGGTATTTTAAGTTATTTTCCCACTTACAGACCACGAGGGATCATTATTCCATCAACGGAAGTTCTTTTCATGAATAAAATAGAGATTCAGAATATTTTTGCTTGTCAATCCTTATATTAATAGTCATTTATTCTGCTGGAGAGAATATTTTGTTACTTTACTGTAATACACAAATATATAGCTATAAAGTGACTACTTCATTTTGTTTTTCAGAGTATAAAATGAATCAACTAGTTTCACAGAGAATTCTTTGGAAGCGAAGAAATTATTTGGTAGCCAATGCATCAACAACTTGCTATTTTGTCAATACAGTATCCATGACATTAGAAAATAACGATTTTTCGCCACTTAATCATTTAGAACAAATAAATCAGTCAGTACAATTGTTTATTTGTAAAGCCTACTGTATTATTAATACATTGTGTTACTAATAAAGTTAGAAAGAAAAATCCTTTTGAAAACTGAACAGAATGTTATTCTTTTCATTATATTTAATGGAAGAGTGAACTGTTGATATTTTGATTGTCTTGTTTTATAGTTTCAATCTATTGAATGGTGATAAATTTCAGTAATTTCAGCGTATGTTTGTTGTTTAACTACATAAATATTAAAATATATAAAATTATTTAACTGACTGTATTATACATCACTGATATTTATTAGTAGTGTTTTGCTGAATGTTTTAATTAGTTTTATGCATAAAGAAAACAAGGCTTTTCTTTTTCTCATTTTTCAGGAAACATTTGAAAGTTCAAATGACAAGAAGGAAAACAAAAGCCCAAATAAGTCAATGGACTTGATAAAACCATTTGTCGATTCTGTTATTGAAACAGCTCTCAATGAAGTACAACATGTAGATGTTAATAGACTGAAAATTGATACTAATGATCCAAGTTTTAAAAGTGATCCACTTTATTGTGAGACTATGCGGTAAAGTGACTAATGTTATAATTTTTAAAAATATTTATTCACGCAATACCAATTTCAATAAAGCGCCATTAGCTAAGCATGACATTAAATACATTAGTGTGTTTATTGTAGTGAACTTTTGCTAATATTGTGTGTAATTTCCTAAATATTAGTGATAGTAACTAAGTAAAACAAACAATAATGTTTTTATTCAGGATTTTTGTTCTTTGTGCTGCAAAAGCAAATATTTAACCTGTACAGACATCTTGTACCAAATGGCTTTATAGGTTAAACTCATCCGATATCATATTCGAGTGAATATTAGTCTCAAAATGGTTCATTTTTATGAGCTAAATGTGTTGAGTCAAATTTTATTTTGACGAGGTTGTTTCTTTTCTATTCACACTGTTGGAAGTTGAGTTCATAAAATAAGTAGATGGTACAGTTGTTAAGATGATCTCTATAGTCATCTCTTGATTAACGAAACAAAAATGTGAACCTCCTTATTCTGTCACACAAAATAGAAAACTATCAGCTGTGGCTGGTAGATCACAAAAGCCCCACCAAATTTTTTGAAGTCTATTTTAAGTATCACCAATTTGATATTAAAATTAATTAGATGACATTCTATACTTCATTATGAGTAAATTTAAAGACCTTTTTAAAACATTAAACTTCTTATAGATAACCACCTAGCAAAATGATTCGCTTATTTCATTTGATTCAACCATAAAGTACTTGGGTTCGATTTATGATGAATTATCATCAATTAGATGTCATGGCCTTATTGCTCAAATTAACAATTTTATATTTAATTTAAACACTTTTCTCCAACTTATCTCTACTCAAAGTGAGTAAAATAAAGATGTTATTACCTTCCAGTGGGATATGACAGGCCATGCCAGAAACTACAACATCGTTACAATGCAACTCATAATTCTAAATAATCCAATTATATCTCACGCCGCATAAAGCAAACAGATGTTCGATACAGTGTTAGTCATACCGCTGTATGTATATCTTCTATGGTTACCTTAAAAATGAGTTTGTGAAAATTGGCTTCTGAAGTTATGAGTATATTATCCAGAATAACTTTTATCCCTCAGCTATTCGGCATTTTGTTCCCTTAAGTAAAAATGGGAATACCTTATAAAACAGTTAGCAAAATTACAGTGTGTAATATTTACACATCTGAATAGGTTGGAGAAGCTCTGTTTAGAGATCTGAAAACAAAAAGAAACACTCGCTAGAGTTTCGGTATCTAGAACTTAAATAATGATTGAATGAAAAGCGCAATTTTGTTTTTATTCGCTAGTATATGTTGCATAGTATGTGTTTACTTTTCAATTATCCAGTGGAATATTTGTTAGTAAGTATGTAGTTTTATGAACCTACTTACAATGACATACTAAGGTATTCGAAATATTCACTTTTTCTCTTATACAGTAATTTGAAAGATAGTGTTCCAGATGAACCACCGGTGTCAGTACGCGGCCTGGTAGCTTCAATTATACAGTCATCATTATATCGTGTATATGAAAAGGATTTATTGGACAATAGACAAAAGTAAGTATCAATTCACATAATAGTCCGTTTGATTTTTGCATTACTGAATAAACTGTTTACTTCGTCTATTGTTCGCTTTACTTAGAAGTGTGAAGTATTTTAAATAACCTGAAATATGATATTATAAAAACCATAGATTTTATCTGTCGGTTAGTGGATTGAAGGTAACACTTCAGTGAATATTTACATCACAATGCTTCAAATTAAAATAGTGATTGTTACGTACATCAAAATATAAGGCATGAAGGTGATTGGAAAGATTCAGAGATCTAAGAGTCTTCAAATAGTACTTTCATCAATGAAATAATCATATATAGTGGCTTGCATAATATCTCTTGTCAGCATTAAAGACTATTTAAATTAGATTTATCAGTTTATATATTCTTATAAAGCAATATATTATTCAATAGGAATGAACTTTAATGCTCAAACAATAAGTACTTCATAAGTATTTCCACTAAAAATAATCAGCATTAATACAGATTATTATGAATGTTGTTTATTTTCAGCTAATTGTGAAACAGATAAAGTTGGATATGAATAGGTGTAGTAATTTATTGTAGTCGTAGTATTAGTATTTCAAGATGACCGAATTACACGAATCTAAACAAAACACAGAGAGGGCAGAATTCAGGAATTTGTATTTAGCGGAATTATTATGCAATTCATATAAGAAACATATTAACAATCAACAGTAAGTATTGAAACAATACAGAGATAGAAATTGTCAATCACCACAATAGGGCTTTTCTGATATTTGCTCAGTCAAAGGAAACAGTTTTCATTCGATTAGTTAGATTTCTGATGAAATTTTTAGAAAGGTATTCACCTTCTGTGCATTATATCAATTTTGTTCAGTGGAATTTAAGCGAGATTTTAATTATGATAAAGCTGAAATAACCAAACAGTGCTTGGAAGAGATCATGTTACAAGAATAAAAATGACTAAAATACTGTTGAATGTGATATGAAACTTTAACTCAGGTTTCAAATGTCATACATGGTTTGATTTTACTGAATTGCTTTCAATGAAGATTGAAAATATCCCACTAAGATATTTAAAGGTGCATATTTCTGCTTCAGTTTCACTACTGTACCAGTGTTTACTGAGAGAGTACATCTTAGCTTTTTTCTAGTTTAAATCATTCTACTAAGTGCCATTTCAAAACCGGGAGCGGAATAGTAATTAAAGCTAGCATGCAGAGAACAGGCGACAGTAACTTTTTCAAAATAAAGAACAATCTTAGAACCCAAATATTTTGATTAATTCCCCAGGAATAATGTAAAATATTCTGTTATAAACTCTACATGTGGACGATTTTACGGTATTATTGTTTACAAAAGATAAGGCGCATATAATCTGGGAAGTTAATCTGAGTTTACTTCCTACGAACTCAATGCACCAAGTACCAAGTCTGTTTGAGTGGTATCGCGATAAATAAAAACCTGTAACTGCATGAATAACTCTTTTTAGTAAAAAAATTTGGCGGGAACTTTCATTTCTGTCAATGATTATAGTAGTGAAACAACTGACTGACTGACTGATTAACAAATACGTTTTCCAGTAGTATATGCTTAAGTACTGAATGGACACTAAATGACCGGTACGTCTATTTTAATGACTTATACTCAGAAATGAAAGTATTCGGAAATAAACTGACAGAAAATAAAGATGAAATTTAAGCGTTAATTGTTCTTTTTAAATTTCCGTTTCTTTCGCAATGAGTAAAAGTGTAAACATTTGTTTGCATCGATCAACAACACCCTATTTCTTTTATTTTCAAAAAATAGTTTTAAAGTCAGTGATCAGGACAGTTTATCGGAAGCTTTATCTCTTGACGAAATCTCCGACGACTGGGAGCAGTTGCGCAGTAAACCTGAAACTGCACAAGAAATCACCAATAAAATTGTTCTGACAGATACATCTCAACCATCTCCTAATATACAATGGCCTACTATTGGAGAGTTTACTTGTGAATTGGGAGTTAAGAAAATTGAAGAATATATTAAGGTAAATAGTATTCGTATTCGGGGTTTTCTCTATTACTTTATTAATAGAATATCTACACATTAAGAATCTAGTCGAACTACAATCCTGAATATCCAGTGAAAATTTGATCTCACGATGATCGTATGCGATGAAACAGGGATCTGGCTGGATCGTTGTCCTCTAGTTTTGTTAACAATGTATTGATTTCAAATTTCAAAGTATATTTTCCAGCTGGACTATATGTTTTTCTTTGTATCCTTAGAAGTCATTTTATAACGGTTTTCCTACTTATGCACTGAAATGCGAAAAAGTTCGTTTTCTTTTATTGTAAATATCAGTATTCAGTGATCTGAACAATGATTATTGTTAATTATTTAAAACAGGGTTGGGAAGTAAATAAAAATTGGCTTTACTGCATCGACATTTTACCTAAAGTGGAACTAAAGTATGAAATTCAGTATAAATATCGGGTGAAATGGAGCATGCCATGTAGACGATCGCCTATACCAAAAGCTACAACATCTGTTTACTTCACTCTTCGAGTGTCTCGAATAAAACCAAAGGTAAGCAAACATAGATTTCAAAAGAATGGATACTGAACGAAGAGTAATCTTTTCGATAACGTCATCATCAGGCTCTACAGTTATATATATATATATATATATATATATATATATATATTATAGTGAATGAATGAATTAGTGTTATGAACAACATTAATGCTTAAATAACATAGAATCAATAATATCAACAGATTACAG